CACCCCCACTCCACTACCTACATGGACACATCCTGCCCCCTACCTTCGCAACACACCCCATCCCCCCTACCTGCACAGCACACCCCAGCACCAGCAGCAGGAGCTTCTTGACTTCCTCCATGCTCTTCCCTGGAGTGAAAGAAACTGAATTAGGCTCAGCTGTTTCTACGATTCACCAAGACATGGGTTACTGCAGGGGGAAAATATCAGATTTGCTTTGAAAAACAAAAACAAAAACTACCCCTCTACCCAGAACGACCACTGAGGTCTACAAGCATGGGCTCATTTGCTTTTTTTTTTTTTTTTCCCCTTTTTGTACAGGCAAGGTCTCATTGTGTTGCCCAGTCTGGTCTTGAACTCCTGGGCTTAAGTGATCTTCCCACCTTGGCCTCCCAGAGTGCCGGGATTACAGGTGTGAGCCACCATACCCAGCTTAAACTGACCTTTTGATTATGTGAAGTCTTGTCTGATGAGGGAGGGAATGCACTGAGCACTGTGATACACTCAGTTCCTTGCTGTCACTGTCTGCACGTCAAGCTCTATCTCCTGCTCCGCCCCCTTCTGCAAGTTTCACAGTCCGGCTAGAGTGTTTAACGTGAACCCCAGGTGACACGGAGACATCGTTTGTGAACACTCTGCACACTCACCCTGTACCGAGGCCACTGACTTACTCAGCCAGCCCTTCCAGAGGTTCCTTGGTAGCTAAGTCTACAGGCCACCCCTGTTCACCCTGCAGGGTAGACTCTTCCAACTCCTCACTCCCTGAAGCACCCTGCAGACAAGCATTAGTCTCACCCCGAGGGATGTGCAATAAACTTCATTCCTCCCTGACCGATGCCCAGCCCATCGCCCTCTCTTAACTCAGCCCATCGAATGCGCCAAAACCCTGTCACCCCTTTAACTGTGTCTCCTTGATGGTGTTTAAGGCCGAATGCATCTTCACTGGTGTGTCCATCCCGACCACATAAACATACAGAGCCGGGATGTCTGTCTAGACCCGGCTTGACCACCTTAGTGACCTGGACAAGCCATATATCTGTCTCCAAGCCTCAGTTTCCACATCTGTGAGATGGAAGGAGCTGGCCTGGGTGATGTGCAGGGTTCCCTTCAGGTAAAAAACAGTTCTGAGGTTTTTCTGCCATTTTCACTGTAGCCTGGGTACTTGGGGATGAGGGGACAAGCCAGGAACAGCGCTGTCCTCGTGGAAGGCTGGCCGACTCACACGCATTGTGCCCATGTGGCTTGAGTGTCAACCAAGGGTCATGGGGTGACAAGGCCAAGCTCC